GAGCTACACCAGCTAGGTATATCTCCACTTTTGTGTTCTCTTAATCCTATGAAGCAGTAGAAAGGGCTCACTCAAAGAAAAAAGTGCAAGAACAGGACTGCAAAACAGTATAAAGGGCCATAAGGACCTGATTATCTTGAACCTTAGTTTATTTGATGTAATCTTGGAAGCTTATAACTTTCCTGAGAAGCCCTTTTATTTTTTAAATGCTCATGTCTGGTCTGAGACACAAGGTTAACATTCAGAAAAACTGCAGAAAACTTCCACAGCCATGTCAGCACCAAGAACAGGAAATACTACTACATGCATTAGTTTTCCTACTATAACATAACATAATTTTCTCATCACTTCTACCAAGTGAAAATACTAGAAATTTAATGTGGAAAATGGAACTTTGTACATGGCAACTTGTATTTTTGATTAAAAATTAAAATTCAAACACCCAAAGTGGTAAAAACAGGTGACACTGACATCCAGATATCTGGCCACATGTAATTCTAGATTGTGTGCTATCAAAACTTATTTATGACTTTTTTTAGTATTTTATCTATGTATAAATAACTATTTGATATCCACTATGAATCATGAGTTAAACAATAGTAAACAACATGGAGCTATATTAAATTGTTTACAAAAAGGAATCATCCTGTTAGATTGAGCTCTGCTCTAGATGTTCAAAAAACTTAGTTGAGTTGAATCTACTTGAGTTCCTACTGCATACAAAGCAGTTGAGCATTTTAGGGGTAGGAGATTATAAAAGTCCGTAAAACATAGAACACATTCTTAGCAGGTAAGGAACTCACAGTTTTGTAGGATGTAGTATAAGTATATTTCTAATATAAAGTACTATGGAAAACAATGAGAGAAAGATACATCAATCAACCAATTATCTTGAACAAATAGTCAAGTAGTAGAAAATACCAATTAAGATCCTTTTTAAAAAGTTTTAAATGTTATTTTTCAATCACAGTTTACATTCAACACTTTTGTATTAGTTTGAGATGTACAGCATAGTGGCCAATCACATGCTGTACTTTACAATGTGGTCCCTCTGATATTAGCAGTACCCACCTGGCACCATACATAGTTATTACAATATTATTGACCATACTCCTCATACTGTACTTCAAAGTCCTATGACAATTTGTAACTACCAATTAGTTCTTAATTCTTTCACCTTTTTCACTTTGCCCTCCAACTCCCACTCCTGTCTGTTAACCATCAGTCTGTTCTCTGTATGTCCTGTGTTCTCTTCATTGCATATTCCTTTATGTAAACTAACTCCTTTATGTAAATATCCCCCAAATTCTTTTATTTCTGCTTGTATGTTTATGAAGATTATAATTATCTTTTCAAATTAAGATAAGATCTCTTTATAGTTTTGATCAAAATTTTATTACAAGTTAAAAGTAGTTTGGCAAGAATTTCAAGTCCGTATATATTGTATTCTTATCCAAAAATAATGCATGGCTTTAAATTTATTGATATACTCTTTATGGCTTTCAAGAAGTTTGTAGTTTATTTTTATATAGATCTCACATATTTCTTGTTCATTTTTTACTAAGTACCTTATATTTGATATGAGTATATAACTATACTTCAATTATTTAATACTAGTACACAGGAAACTTATGTCACTTTCTTTACAGCCACTTATTGAATTTTCTTGTTAATTTTACTAATGTTTCTGTTTATTCTTTTGAATTTCCTAGCTATGTAATCATATTGTTCATAAAACTGATAATTGTATTTCTTTCCTTATATTTTTACTTTTGTTATTTAACTTCTATTTTTGATTAAATTGTATTGGTTAGATCTTTCAAAAAAAAGGACTATGGGAGTTTACAGGTAGGTATGGTCACAACTAGGCAGGGAATAATGAAAGCTTCATGAAGAAGGTAATTTTTTTGTATTGCCTTTGAAGGATAGGCAGGATTTCATTAGGTAAAGATGGGGTAGGACATTCTAAGCAGAAGAAAAATTAAGAACACAGGCAATGAAGATAATAAAGGACAGGAAATACATGCAAGGATCTAATTTGGCTATGAAACTTTACAAAATAAATTGATATTGGTCTTGCCCTTTATAACTCAAGAAAGACTCTCAGATTTGAATGCTCTCTGATTTGGTTCTCTGGAAAGACTGTTATAATGTAGACAGCTTGGCTCCACTCTTTGGTAATTAAGATTCAGTACATCTGGGATTTTCACTTTAATATGCACTACAGTTAGCCCAGGGACCACATTTTGAGAAACCCTGTTTAAGAAAAAGGAAAATAATAAAAATAGAAACCTCTAAATCAAGTGAATGACATCAAGACCCTGAGAGATGAGACCTGTGAAAGAACAAACTGATGAACATATTTTTAAATAAGTGGTAGGAGCAAGGAAGTGGGTAGGTATTTAAAGAACTTGTTAATTATCGGTACAGATTTCAATAGCCTCTGGAGTTACCAGTCCTGAAAACCCATCGGTGTGCCCTGGTCTCCAGGATATGAAATAATTACAAACTAGGATATCTGAGGAATGGCAGTGTGACTGAGCCTTATTCACTAGGGATATGAGGTCGAGTGATGCCCATCCTGGTATTTCCAAGTAATTAAAAGAGTACTGTTCAGAGCAAAGGAACAAGATGCACCACCTGCTGGAAAGGAAATGGGCTTCAGGTCTCAGTGGAGATGTATTGACTCAGCTAAATAAAAGAATTTCCTGGAACAATGACACTGTTCACAATAACTACATTGCCTGTTCACACATAGGTATTTTCTCCCTTCATGAAGTTGGCCTATGGGGGAATCATAGAAGGTGTCAAAAGTAAGGGAAACTGGGAGTCTGAATGAATGTGGTATATGGGTAGAAAACCACCCTTTCAAATAAAAAAAATTCTGATGGAACATTCAGTGGGACAGAACTGGCGAATTACCTAGAAGAAGTAACCAGGCAAAGACATTCTCTACTATTTTATGACTATGCTGTAGTCAGCTCTTTACCTTGAGGCAATTACTGGACAGGTTTACTGGAAATATTGTAAGCTAATTGACTTTGAAGACTTTCAAAACTGAAAAGGAAGTTTTGAGATTTTTATGTGTACTGATCAGAATCAAGAAAAATTTGTTCTACTTTTCCCTATCCAATATGTACACACCTTGTTCAGCCCTGTATGATTTCAGTCACTTGGAACACTAATGCTACTTTTTCTTGGCTTCCCAAAGTGTTTACCAAACCAGAACTCCAAAATAAAGATGGATTTTGAGTAAGTGGTTGCTTATGGCTTGTAATCGGACAGTTGCTCAACAGGGTTACATATCCAAAAATATAGTCTCTACTTGCAATTAATATGTCTCAAAGAGCAGCATCAAAAATTAGGTCATTTGATGATGTAGCATTTTAATAACTTACTTTCCTTTATTAAAATACAGAAACACATTTTGATTGGGGAAGTTCTAACATCTTTATAGATAATAACATTTTGCTCAGAGCAAGTAAAAGATAACTTCGCTTTAATAGTTACAGTGAATTTGAGATGATGATGAAATATCCAAGAGTAGAGGTCTTACATATAATTGGAAAGAGAGCTATGGCTCAGATGAGATGATATAGATTTAAGACTCATTGGCTGTGATAGGAGAAGTGAATAGATGTTCAGTAGAGGTTGACTAGACAAACATTTGTAAACTTCTAATGTCTAATCAGTGACATTAATTGGCAATGCCTTTTGTATAAATAGTTAAAAAGGAAGTTCAAAATCCAGGGCTTTTCACTTTTTGGTATGCTACCTACCTAATTTGTCCCGTCATCTACAGCATAATCACTACCTCTGAAAATATTTTAAAGAAGTATTTCAGTTTGGCAGCTGAAGGACCTCTAATTTTAACCACACTTTCAATATTGAAGTTCTTTACAGTTGTACTTCCTTGTATTTTACAACACCATCTCTATACTTCCTTTACTTCCCTATCTGAGAAACCTCAAAGTGTTTAACCTGAATGCATTGTTCATGGTATACATCAGAACTTTAATTAAAGTGAGCACCATATCGCTGAATAAAAAATGCTCTTTTACTTAATAGGAAAGAGTCAAAATAATAACTACAATGCCTTCAGAGTTTGAATCAAGCACTTTAAACCACATGGGTTTTATAGTACAAACCAGGATGTTTCATAATTTCTATTTCATTTTTTTCTTCCCCCATATCTTTAAAGTCAGTTAAGTCCTTCTGGATTTCAGTGGCCTTGAGGCAACTCTCCAAGTCCCTATGCTAAAATTTGTTTACCTCAGAACACAGGTCATGGACCCAGCTGAGTCAACTTTTGGGGAATTTTGATTCTTTTACTGGTGCTATGGTTTGTTGTTTTGGATAATTGAGAGGTGACTAAATGACCCATGTAAATAGAAGCATTTAAAGAGAGGTTGGTTGCCCATTTCTTCTCAGACATCTGGGAAGGATATAGATCAAATCAGTGGCCCTTTAATAATGGCTCAAAGAGAAATGTTGGGTTGCTGTATTTGAATCATATGGGGAGCTTTTAAAAAATACAAATTTCAGACCCTATATGTTGGATCAGAATCTCTAGAGGAGACACCAAGAAAGCTATGGAAAGGTTTATTTTTTTAAAAATGTCCTTAGATGAGCCTGATGATTGGTGGGGTTTGTGAAGCAATGGTTTAAATCAGAGCCTCACAAATGCTATTATGCAAAACAAAAACCTGTAGTAATTGTTAAACTGTAGATCCTAATTCAGCAGATATCTGTTGGGGCAGGAGGTTTTTCTGTATTTGTTCTGTATTTCTAACAAGCTCTCAAGTGATGCTGGTTCAGGATGACATTTTGAGTAGCAAGGGGCTAGATTACCTCTTAGAATCCTCCTAGCTATACTTTCCTGTGATTCTGAAGTGCCTTGTAGAAACATCAGAACTTCCTATGTAAACTAATATTTTTTCTACATATAGGCTTTTTTTGAAAAAAAGTATCAGACAATAATTTTTTCTTCATTTTTTTAGCTTTCAACACATAACAGAAAAACTCCCAGAAAAGGTGGTGTATCTACATTGATCATCTCTGAAGAGCTGCAGACCTACTGAGTACTTAAACAAACCTTTCTTTTATGTGAACCATAAAAAGGAAAAACAGCCTGCCAAACACCTGTAAAGTGATGACTATTATCATATGAAAGTTAAAAGAACTGCTATATGACATGTTCATGATTCAAACAAGAGAGAATCAACTGTTGTGATGTCCCAGAAGGCCTTATGACGAAGTAAAGAAAGGGGGAAAATTATAACAGCTTGTCATCTCTCTTTGTACATTAGACTTCCATGTAGTTACCGTAGACAAATCAAAGCAAGCATGAAAGTAGTTCTTTGAAAATCATATCTAGAGGCTGAGATCTACACATAAGAAATTTATCTTATATTTAGCCTATCCAGCTCATCAATAATTAATCTTTAAGAAAGAGCAGCAATTGATCGTGAATATAGGTTTTGAATTGCCATTTGGCAAAGACAGTTTCTGTGGGAAGAAAAATGCCTACTAATGACACATGTGCTGAGCCAGATGGACACATTACAGATTTACGATACTTTATCTACGCAGTGACATACACTGTCATTCTTGTGCCAGGTTTCATAGGGAACATATTAGCCTTGTGGGTATTTTATGGCTATATGAAAGAAACCAAACGAGCTGTGATATTCATGATAAACTTAGCCATTGCTGACTTACTACAAATTCTCTCCCTGCCTCTGAGGATCTTCTACTACTTGAATCATGACTGGCCATTTGGGTCTGGCCTCTGCATGTTTTGTTTCTACCTAAAGTATGTCAACATGTATGCAAGCATCTATTTCTTGGTCTGCATCAGTGTGAGACGATTTTGGTTTCTCATGTACCCCTTTCGCTTCCGTAACTGCAAACAGAAATATGACCTATACATCAGCATTGCTGGCTGGATGATCATCTGCCTTGCCTGTATGCTCTTTCCTCACCTGAGAACCAATGATGACACCTCAGGCAACAGAACCAAATGCTTTGTAGACCTTCCTACCAGGAATGTCAATGTGGCTCAGTCCGTTGCCATGATTACCATTGGCGAGTTGATTGGGTTTGTCACTCCTCTTCTGATTGTCCTATATTGTACCTGGAAGGCTGTTTTATCACTGCAAGATAAATATCCTGTGGCCCAAGACCTTGGAGAGAAAAAGAAAGCCTTGAAGATGATTCTAACTTGTGCGGGAGTATTCTTAATTTGCTTTGCACCTTATCACTTCAGTTTTCCTTTAGATTTTCTGGTCAAGTCCAACAAAATTAAAAGCTGCCTAGCCAGAAGGGTGATTCTGATATTTCATTCTGTTGCCCTGTGTCTTGCTAGTTTGAATTCCTGCCTTGACCCAGTCATATATTACTTTACCACTAATGAGTTCAGAAGACGGCTTTCAAGACAAGATTTGCATGATAGCATCCAACTACATGTGAAATCCTTTGTGAGCAACCATGCTACTTCTACTATCACAACCGAATTATGCTAAATAAAAAAATAAATGTGGCTGGAAATGAAAAAATATCAGAATACATTTGTAATGTCCCAAGCTACTAGAAAGTAATCACAGGAAGCACTCACAGATTTTTTTGTTATGTTCTATCTTACCTATGTGAGGAATTCACATCTTTATATCAGAACCTATTTAGAGCATTATACTCTACCATCGTTGATGTCCATGCAGTAATTTGTCACCATGTCTTTAAGACTTGAACTATAAAATTTCAGTGACATCCTGTACACATATGCTCTCAACTAGAGTTAGTAGTTTTATCTGTGAACCTAAGACACAAAGAGACAATTACTTTGGTGTCATTATAAGCACTTAGTTTGTTACAATGGACACAGTATTTAGAGGCAATGTAGTTGTCTATACTGGTAACTACAGTTTATATTCCAATATCGTATTTTGGTTATATATTAAGTAGGATGGACAATATATTATTATGTGAAAATAAAGTGTTACAAACATGGGATCACTTTTACCTCCCATGTGTGATTACACTCTAAGGTTTGAAGACTCAAATAGCTATTTTATTCACTTCAGTGTCAATATGAAACATCATCTGTCACACCTATTCATAGAATGAAAATCTGAACTTGGGCCTTTATTATGTTAATAGTAAGGACAAGAAACAGATTCACCTAAAATAACTTTCTAAACTGCCATATGAAATCCACCCAGGGCAGATAGCTTGTCAAAGTCCATACAATGTGACCTATATAAATGTGACCGAAATTACCTCTATAATTCAGGAGACAGCAGATAGGTCACAATCACAATTTGGTTCCCTTAAATTATTTCTGAATATCACCTCTGGAAATGCATGTACCTGCCTTGTAAAGGGCATTTCCACCATGCTTCCAGAGTGATGTTGAAGTACCTCTGACAGATTACTGCATTTTTGAGCCTATGAAATAAGCAATGCATTAATTAATCACCAAGCTTAGATCAGAGGAAAAAGAAGTAGAGTGGGTAGAGCTCTTAAAATCCTTACCATATTGTATTTCTTCTTTTAAATTAGGTGGCAACTGTTAAGCTACATCCATTAGCAAGAGTTGGGTTTGAAAGCAGCTAGGCATGTGGGTCCTAGTCTTCAGTAATTTGTCTGGTCCACCTTCACCTCAGTGGTACCATTCTGAGGTCAGTATAGCCTACCTCCCTGCAGCTAGAGAAGTCATTTTTTTCACCTTTAAAAAAAAGTGCATAAGATTAATTTTGGCAGCATCGGACACTCCTCACAATGCCTTGCCTGCTACCTGTTTGGTACTAGTATCAGGAAATAGAACCAGGATGTGAATAGTAATTAAACCTGAGATCTTAAATATTTCAATACTATAAAACATGTTTTATCAAAAAGCTCTAACTTAAAAAATGCTCTACTCAAAAATGTGTGCTGTATAATAAAGACACATGCTACTTTGGAAGGACTATGGAAGTTAACCCATGGTTTCATCATATTTAGAAGAAAGGAGTTGTTTTAGGCACACAGTTATGATACTAATATGTTTAGGGGAGGGAAAGTGGTGGAATATCTAAGATAAATAGAAAATTTTCTAATGTTTTCTCTGGACAAGAGTTGGTATTGTTTGTACTTTGTTATTAAAATAATACCTTATTAGAAGACTGATGTTGTGCTGCTAGCAGTAGTGTATCTATCTCCTAATTATAAATTGTAAGGTACATATTTTGATGTGTTAAATAAGTGTTGTGATTTTAGAAAGAGTAACTATGTCTGGTCTGTTTGCCTTAAAGTGATTTGTGTTTGGATATAATTTAGTGTTGTAATGGGTTCACAATTAAGAATTTGTGGGTACTTGGAATGGAAGAGTCTTGCCTATAGTATATGTTTTTACTATTTTCTACATAAGCATGAATTATTCTTCTTATTGTCATTTTGTGAGATCAGTAACCCTATTTTATTAAAATATTAATTTCTCTTTAAACATATCATTTTTAAAGGGGAGGGTAAATATTATCAGGGGATTATTAAACTTTTTAGAGAAATGGCTGAGGTTGAAGCCCACTTACTAGACAGCCAGAAAGCCCTGGCAGATCATTTACATCATTCAAGGAGATAAGTGTCCAGTATTCTTAGGCTGCTTAGCTATGACCACCCTTTCTCTTCAGAACTGTCCATCTGAATTTGTATTCATTGCTCTGATTTACTTTATCTACTCCTCCTCCCCATCAATATGTTTAGTCTTCTGTCTTATTCCTTTGTTCTGCATATCAGTAATCTGGTCAAATTATTCACACTAAGATGCTAATGTGCTAATGTTAGCTTAGTATGAATTTTCCAAGGAATATCTAAATTTTAGGCCTTGGAAATAAACCTTAACTCAAACTATTAATCCCTCACTTTTAATGGAGGGAATTAAAAACATTGAAACAGAGTGGAGGAGAAGATACTTTGAAGAAGTGGGTTTTACAGCACTGTTTTTCAGATTATATATGTAGCAAGTGTTCACCTACTTGGTTTATCATAATGGGGATGCCAAATTCTAAGACATGGATCTACAAGCATGGCTATCAGTTTCTCAGATCTCTGCTTTCTTTCTTTTTAACTTTTCCCTTTCCAACTCTGGACCTGATTTTCAGGGGAAAATCTAAACTAGGAGAGAAGTACTGCTATAGCTGGTATCCAGACAGCAGCTTCCTCTCTGAGCTTCTTTCCTTGGAGAAACTTTTCTCTGAACCTCCATTTATCACTCTCCAGGTTCAGCAAAATCAGGGTACAAAAAGTTAATATCCTGAACTATAGTAATATACAATTCAAGATAAATAAGCTCTCATTTTCTATATAAAGTTATTTAAGTTCTGATTCCACATATATGTGTGTGTATGTATGTATGTAATTATTCCAACAAGACAGATTTTGAATATGAGGGATTTATATGTTACCATTATTCCCATTATTATAATTATTATTTTATTCATATGTTTTATATGTTTTCATTTTTACTCAGTTAAAGAACTAATTCTATTAACCTATAATTCTGTGAGAAGAGCCATCTGCCATAGGAACAACAAATCAAGTTACCTTGGTCTGAAACGGTGCATAAGCAGAAATCTTGTGCAACTTCACTTTTATTTTATATTTTTGTTTTTTACTCCCAAGACACTGTAAAAATGTTGCACTTGGTATCTAGTTATTTATGCCTATAATTTAAAAATATACATTTTAATAATAAAGATGGTCTCTGTAATTATATAGACGTTTTCTGCCTCCAGAAGTCAATTTGTATTTAGTCACTTCTTAAGCTCACTGATATACATGGGGATCTTTGTCAGTGTTCTCACACATGGATGAATACTGTGAGGTGCTACTCTCCTTTTCTCTCCCTGAAGAGGTTAATGCTTTCCTCCAATGGAAAGATGAGCCATTTCCCCCATCTTACCCTACCATTTATCCATACCTTGCATAGATAAATTCATTACCATCCATACCCTACTAAGATTATTCTCCACTGCCAGGTTTTGACCAATTTCATTTGAATGACTTAAAACCCTATATTTTCTAGAGTATACAATCTGTGGGTAGAAAAGGAGATGAGGTGACAGAGGAAAGGTTTTTTGCTATAGTCTTAAAGCTTGTTAACAATTAAGTATCTGAGTTTTGTTGTGCATTGGCAGAAAGAAAAATCTATTCCCTATCCCTGTACTTTACTGTCCCTGTCTCTTCTTCTGAAAACAGTTCTATTTTTTTAAGTGAAGTCAAAACAATTGTCTCTGAATCTCTTTTCATCTTAGTTATCTTTTTGGCACTTTGTATCCCCAGTAGTTTCAGATATCTTCTGTAAAAACCAATATGTTAGGAATTATGCATTTCGGCTGTTGCAGAAAGATTTTCCTAGGAAGTGGTAAATGTTTTCCTAAGGAGAAATTTCTGATGTGTTGGTAGATCTGAAAAAAATAGTGGGATATAAATATGGGATCTGCTCCATGCTCCAAATGTCCTCAAATCATATATATGCCTCTTCTGTGCGTTCCCAAAAGTAACTTTACTATATTCACTATCATACTTGGGTGAGGGGAGTGAGTAAGAGATAAACTGTCAAGTGAATGTGACTATTTTAACTCACTTATTCCTCAGTTGTTAAAGAATGTAATGTGTGTTTGGAGAGCAGGCAGTTATAACTTTCTTAAATTTCACAGACCATTTCCTCAGCAGAATTTCCTCAGCCTTAACCACTCATTTCACTTTGCCAAGATCATATTTCTTCTATTTGTTGACTAAGTTTTCTTCATGTAACCCCTTACTGCACATTTGCTGGTTCAGCTATAGGCACACTACTTCCTTAAAGTCTTACATTTTCCTTCTTGGATCTCTTCAAACAACAGAGAAACTGCCCTTTGGGGGGTGGTGTCTGTTGTTAAGCCTATCTCCTTGACCCTAGTTTCTTCTATTTTGCAGGAGCTTCAGAAGCAGAACTGAGGCAGAACTAGGATCTTTGGTCTTCAAGTTTAACTCTGGCCAATAATTGAGAGATTTTTTCCCAGCCTTTTCTAAACAATGCTGATTATACACAACTTGTACAAAGATTGGTATATTTCATACCTTTGAAATATAAATCTAATCAGGATAAACATAGACAACTCAAAATAACAATGGCCCAAGTTTTAAGTTCAGGGAATAAATGCATGAAGTAATTGGTCTATTTTAGACTTTAAAAAAATTTATTTTGAGTTTACATTGAATATTATCTTGTATGTTTCTTTTAAAATTTTTTTATTTAGTTATTTTTCAAGTGCAGTTTTTTGTCTATTTCTCCCATCCCAGCCCCCCCGCCCCATGCTCCCCGCCTCCCTCCCATTTCCTCCCTCCCTAGTCCTCATCCCTGTGTCCTTCATACTTGTTCCTCCAAATCCCTCCCCTTCTTCCCCCTTAAATTCCCTTCCCTCTCCCCTCTGGTCACTGTCCCCTTGTTCTCTATTTCAGTGTCTTTGTTTTTATTCTGCTTGCTTGTTTGTTTTGTTGTTTAGCTTCCTGTTAAAGGTGAGATCATATGGTATTTGTCTTTCAACACCTGGCCTATTTCACTCAGCATAATGTTTTCCAGTTCCATCCATGCTGTTGCAAAGGGTAGTCACTCCTTTTTCTCTGCTGCATAGAATTCCATTGTGTATATGTACCACAATGTTTGATCCACTCATTTATTGATGGGCACCTAGGTTGCTTCCAACTCTTGGCTATTGTAAATTGTGCTGCTATGAACATTGTGGTGCATAGGTTCTTTGAAATTAATGTTTTAGGATTCTTGGGATATAATCCTAGAAGTGGAATTGCTGGGTCAAAAGGCAGGTCGATTTTTATTTTTCTGAGAAAATTTCATACTGTTTTCCATAATGGTTGTACCAGTCTGCAATCCCATGAACAGTGAACTAGGGACCCCTTTTCCCAACACCCTCTCCAACATTTGTTTGTTGCTTTGTTTATGATAGCCATCCTGACTGGTGTAAAGTGGTATCTCATTGTGGTTTTAATTTGCATCTCTCTGATAGCTAACGATATTGACATCTCTTCATGTGTCTCTGGATATTCTGTATGTCCTCTTTGGAGAAGTGTCTGTTCAAGTCCTTTTCCCATTTTTTAATTGGGTTCGGTGTCTTCCTAGAGTGGAGTCGTGTAAGTTCTTTGTACATTTTGGAGATTAAACCTTTGTCTGAGGTATCATTGGCAAATATGTTTTCCCATACAGTTGGTTGTCTTTTAAATTTAATATTGTTTTCTTTAGCCATGCAGAAACTTTTTATTTTGATGAGATCCCATTTGTTTATGCTTTCCTTTATATTCCTTGCTCTAGGGGACATATCAGTAAAAATGTTGCTGCTTGGAATATCTGAGATTTTCTTGCCAATGTTCTCCTCTAGGACTTTAATGGTGTCATGGCTTATATTTAAGTCTTTTATCCACCTTGAATTTATTTTGGTGTATGGTGTAAGTTGGTGCTCAAGTTTCATTTTTTTGCATGTAGCTGTCCAGTTCTCCCAACACCATTTGCTGAAGAGGCTATCTTTACTCCATTTTATGTTACTGCCCCCTTTGTCGAATATTAATGGACTGTAGAGGGTTGGGTTGATTTCTGGGCTCTCTGTTCTGTTCCATTGGTCTATGTGCCTGTTTTTATGCCAGTACCAGGCTGTTTTGATTACAGTGGCTTTGTAATACAGTTTGATATCAGGTATTGTGATCCCCCCTACTTTGTTCTTCTTTCTCAAAAGAGCAGCTGCTATTCAGGCTCGTTTATAATTCCATATAAATTTTTGAAGTGTTTGTTCTATGTCTGTGAAATACGCCATTGGTACTTTAAAAGGTATTGCATTGAATCTGTATATTGCTTTGGGTAGTATGGACATTTTGATGATGTTAATTCTTTCAATCCATGAACACGGTATATGTTTCCATTTGTTTGTGTCTTCCCTGATTTCTTTCTTCAGTGCTGTGTAGTTTTCTGCATACAGGTCTTTTACCTCTTTGTCTTTTTTAGATAGGCCTGTATTGCTATGAACTTCCCTCTCAAGACTGCCTTGACAGTGTCCCATAAGTTTTGGGTTATTGTGAGTTCATTTTCATTTGTTTCCAGAAACTTTTTTATTTCTTCTGTAATTTCATTCTTGGCCCATTTATTGTTTAATAGCATGCTATTCAATCTCCATGATTTTGAGTGTTTTTTATTTTTTTCTTTGAGGTTGATTTTTAGTTTCAGTCCCTTGTGGTCAGAAAAAATGGTTGATATGATTTCAATTTTTTTGAATTTGCTGGACCTTGTTTTGTGTCCTATCATGTGGTCTATCTTTTAAACTGTTCCTTGTGCATTTGAAAAGAACGTGTATTTAGCTTCTTTGAGATGAAAGGCTCTCTCTCTACATATATCAGTTAAGTCTATTTGATCTAGGACATTGTTTAATGCTGCAATATCTTTGTTGATATTTGTACAACTTTTATATCTAGTCATCTATCGATGGGCATTTGAGTTACTTTCAAATTTGGGGGATTGTAAATAATGTTGCAGTGAACATAGGAGTGCATATATCCTTTCAAATTAATGTTTTGGATTTATTCACATATATACACAGAAGTAGAATTGCTAGGGGATATGACAGTTCCATTCTTAATTTTTTGAGAAAATTCCATACTGTTTTCCACAGTGGCTGCACCAATCTGCATTCCCTCCAACAGTGCACAAGTGTATCCTTTTCTCCACATCCTCTCCAGCACCTGTTGTTCGTTTATTTGTTTATGATAGCCACTGTGGCAGATGTGAGGTGATTTTTCATTGTGTTTTTAATTTTGCATCTCTCTGATGATTAGTGATGTTGGCCATATTTTCACATGTCTATTGACCATCTTTATATCCTCTTTGGAGAAGTGTTTGTTCAAGTTTTGACCATTATTTTATGTCAATTTCAATTGGATTTTTTGTTATTTTTGTGTTGAGTTATATATGTTTTTAAATAGATTTTGGATATAAAACTCTTGTCAGCTGTACCATTAGCCAATATCTTCTTCCATTGCATAAGTTCTCTGTTTTGTCAATGGTTTTCTTTGTTGCGCAAAATTTTTAGTTTGATATAGTCTCATTTGTTTATTTTTTCATTTTTTTGCCTTGCTTGAAGAGATACATCAGAAAAATAATGCTATGAGGAATCTCAGAGATTTTGTTGTCCATATTTTCTTCTAGAAGTTTTATGACTTTGAGTCTTACTTTTAAGTCTATAATCCTTTTTGTGTATAATAGTTTAAGGAGTTAGCCTAGTTTTACTTTTCTGCATGCATCTGTCCAGTTTTCCCAACGCCATTTTTTGAATAGCTTGTTTTTACTCCATTGTATGTTCTTAACTCCTTTGTCAAATATTATCTGACCACATAATTGTAAATTTCCTTCTGGGCTCTCTGTTCTCTTCCAGTGATCTATGTATCTGTTTTTATGCTGATACCATGCTGTTTTCAGTACTATAGATATCAGGTAGCACGATACCTTCAACTTTGTTCTTCTTTCTCAAAATGGTAATGACTATTTAGGGTGTTTTGTGGCTCCATATAAATATTTGAATGATTTGTTTTATTTCTGAGAAATACACCACTGGTATTTTGATAAAATAGTCTTGAATTTATAGGTTGCTTTGGATGGTATGGACATTTTAATGATGTTAATTCTCCTACCCATGAGCATGGTATATGCTTTATTTATTTGTATCTTCTTCAATTTCTTTATTCAGTATCTTATTATTTTTCTGAGTGCAGACATTTTACATCCTTGGTTAAATTTATTTCTAAGTATTTTTTAAAATTTTATTTAGTTATTTTTCAAGTATATTTTTTGTCCATTTCTCCCATCCCAGCCACCCCCACCCTGTGCTCTCCACCTCCCTCCCATTTCCACCCCCCCTAGTCCTCATCCCTGTGTCTTTCATACTTGTTCCTCAAAACCCTCCCCTTTTCCCCCCTTAAATTCCCTTCCCTCTCCCCTCTGTTCACTGCCCACTTGTTCTCTATTTCAATGTCTCTGTTTTTATTCTGCTTGCTTGTTTGTTTTGTTGTTTAGCTTCCTGTTAAAGGTGAGATCATATGGTATTTGTCTTTCAGCACCTGGCTTATTTCACTCAGCATAATGCTTTCCAGTTCCATCCATGTTGTTGCAAAGGGTAGTCGCTCCTTTTCTCTCTGCAGCATAGAATTCCATTGTGTATATGTACCACAATTTTTTGATCCATTCATTTACTGATGGGCACCTAGGTTGCTTCCAGCTCTTGGCTATTGTAAATTGTGCTGCTATGAACCTTGTGGTGCATAGGTTCTTTGATATTGATGTTTTAGGATTCTTGGGGTATAATCCTAGCAGTGGAATTGCTGGGTCAAAAAGCAGGTTGATTTTTATTTCTAAGTATTTTTGATGCAGTTGTAAATGGAATTGTTTTCTTAAGTTCTCTTTCTGATAGCTTATTAGTGGTTGTATAAAATACAATCTATTTCTGAATAATAATTTTTTAATTCTGTTTCTTTACTGATTTTTCCTTATCAGTTTTAGTAGTTTTTTGGTTCAGTCTTTAGGGTCTTCTATTACAGCATTGTGTCAATTGCAAATAATGGCAGTTTTACTTTTTTATTTCCAATGTGAAAAACTTTTATTTCTTCTTCTTGTGTAATTGTGGCTAGGACTTCTACTACTTTGTTCAATTAGAGTGGCAAAAGTGGACACCCCTGTTTTGTTCCTGATTTTAAGGAAGACAGTTTTTCCTAGTTAAGTATGAAATTAGCTATAGGTTTTTAATATATTGCCTATATTATGTTGATTTATGTTCTCTTTTTTCTCACTTTGCTGGAAGTTTTTTTAAATTCATAAATGGGTGTTAAATTCTGTGACTGTTTTTCCAGCATCTATTGATATGATCATATAATTTTATACTTTATTTTGTTTATATGGTGTGTCACTACCATATTAATAGATTTGTGGATATTGTACCAATTTTACATCCTAGATATAAATACTACTCAGTCATGATGTCTGATCTTTTAATTGTATTACACAATTTTGTTTGCTAATATTTTGTTGGGGATTTTTGTATCTATGTTTATTGGGGATATTGACATAGCATTTTCTTCCTTTGTAGTGTCTTTATCTGG